GATCCCCTGGAGGTGAGTCCCCACCAGTGACGTCCCACTGGAGCACCCTCCGTCCCCGCCTGCCCCACATGGACCCCAACCCCAGCTCTGCTCCCTTCCCTGCACCGTATCACCCCCAAACCCCAGCTCTGCCTTCTCCCCTCCCTGGGGTTGCCCTGGGCCGCCCCGATCCGGGAGCTGGGAGGGGAGGACAGGGGCTGCCCATCATTTCGGAGTCTCCCTCGCTCACGTGTGCCTGTGGCGCTCTGGGGGCTGACCTGGCTTCCTGGCTCCCATCCAGGTGGAGTTTCGGGGCTCTGTCCCAGCGGTGGTCCTGCAGATGGTGCAGCCGGAAGGAGCCCAGCGCATCCTCAGGGACACGGATCACTTCTCTGCGCCCCACAACGTCTCCTACCACCTCCTCGCTGGCTCCCTCTCACCCCACAAAAGTGAGTGGCTCCGGGACCTCAGACTCAGGACAGCTTTCCCACCAGTTGCATGTTCCAGTGTGGAGCTGCTCCGTCACCGCTGCTGCCAGGGCAGGGAAGGGTCTGCTCCCAAGCTTTTTGGGGTGAGGGACCTGCCGATACCTGGTGACCTCCTCCCTCGCCAGCCTCCCCTGTTCTCTCTGGGGAGACGGAGAGATAGAGGAAGGTCCGTGTGCTCCAAGTGTGGTCCACACTTCTACACCTTGGCACTGGGGTGACAACGGACATTCGGGGTTCCCCAGATCTCTGGGGCCCTCCCATCTCCCTGGGCTTGAGTTTTCAGCTCTCTAGAGAGGAAGATCGAGATGTTGGGGCTGGACCACAAGGACAACCCCATAATGTGGGAGATGGGGGTCGAGCTCTTGGGTAGATGCATGAAAAGCAACTCAGGTGCAAGCACCATGGGAAGGAGCTCAGGGCAGCCCCACGTGAGCCCACAGGTCTGACACGTGCACGGTGCTGCGCAGACTGGCAGCAAGAGCAGCGGGGCAAATGCAGCCCCAGCTGGGCTGGCGGCAGGATGCCTCATCCTGGTGTTTGCATCTCCATGAGGTTCCCAGTAGAGCAGCAACAAGCTTCCAGGGTGTGTAGCTGTACCATAAAGCTATCCTGGCCCTGTAGACTGTCTCTCAGCTGTTCCTTCCCCAGGTTTGGCTTTTTTTAAGGTGTTTTACCCAAATATTTCTTCTTCAGAGGAGTGCTTGGATTCTCATCCTGTCCTCTCCCTGCTCTCTGGGCCAATTTCGAGCACCTCCTGAGATACTGGAGGCTTCAGCTTCAGCAAGGACCTGCCAGCCTTGAACATGGAGACATAAAATAGCGTTAACCATGCGGGTTGGCCACGTGGAGAGCTTTTTTAGCGTCCCCTCCTTGTTACTTGCAGGTAAAAACCTCACCATAGTCCATCCCGGGTCACCCCTCAGCCTGCTAAAGCCTTGCCTTTGCCTTGCAGAATTCTTGGCGGTGGGATTGGCATCGGTGCGGCGGCCACGTGGCTACTACCTGCCTGCCACGCTCCAGTCCCTCTTCAGGCAGTCGACGGAGGAGGAGCTGCAGGAGATGGTGGTGGTGGTGCACCTGGCCGACGCAGACCCCACGTGGAACGTGCGCGTGGCCGCCAACATCGCCCGCAAGTTTTCTCACCACATCCTCCTGGGCCGGCTCCTGCTTATCCACGCTCCCCACGAGTTTTATCCCACCCTGGAGGGTCTCAAGAGAAACTACAACGACCCGGAGGAGCGGGTGAGGTTCAGGTCCAAGCAGAATGTGGACTACGCCTTCCTCCTCGCCTTCGCCGCCAACCTCTCCTCCTACTACTTGATGATTGAGGACGATGTGTGGTGCGCCAAGTCCTTCCTGACGGCCATCCGCAAGGCAGTGGCTTCCCAGGAAAGCTCCAACTGGGCGACCCTTGAGTTCTCCAAGTTGGGCTACATCGGTAAGCTCTACCGCTCCAGCGACCTTCCTCGCCTGGCTCGTTTCCTCCTCCTCTTCTACCAGGAGATGCCCTGTGACTGGCTGCTGGTCCACTTCCGCCTCCTGCTCACCCAGAAGGATGTCATCCGCTTCAAGCCCTCCCTCTTCCAGCACATGGGCCTCTACTCCTCCTTCCAGGGCACCGTCAACCGGCTAGAGGATGACGAGTTCGAGGCCAAT